ACTGCACACCAGGCAACATCTCGCGGGGAATAGCGGTTGAAAAACGCTGGCATAGACATTATTCCACATCTTAAAAAAAACCCTATTTCTAGGCCACTATGTATATATAAATTTGACTCATCCCTTTTATTGCCAACAACTTATTATAAACATTAGCATACAGAAGTTGGTAGAACTGAATGGTGAATTTCTACTCATCATGTAGATCCGTTAAAATTTTGTTGTACTTATGTTATTATATGTTAATCTATGTATCCACCCACCAGTCTATCATATTCTGATGCATTTTTCCAAGTACAACTTATTTTTAAAAATAGGTGTATAGGGTTTATAGAAAGGAGGCTTAATAATTTATTCATGCATTCCTCTACAGATAAGTATTCTTGTGTTTTGCTATTACAGGCAATGCTGAAATTAACATTCTCATATTTATTCTCAGACTTTAGTAACCTTTACTTTATAGTAATGTTGCTTCTATTTCAGTAGGATAGATTCCTAAAAATGAAACTGCCAGCTTAAAAGATAGGCCCAATTTAGTGGATACTGCTGGATCTCTTTCCATTAGTATATAGCCACCAGAAAAATCTGGGAAGGCCTGTGTTTCTTCTCCTGTTTACTGCGGGAAGAAATATGAACTGAAAAATGTAAACATGGAGTTCTCAGGTTGCTTGATTGAGATAAACATGTATACATGTGTACAGCCTGGCCTCCTGGATGCTATCTGTATTTAAAATTTTGCGCATCTGTTGAAACTTTTCATCCAGTGAGTGCCCATTCTTTCTGGATTTTCTGGCAGAATTTTTGTTTTCTCTGGTTTTTCTTGACATTGTGTGTGGCCTCCCCCTAAACCCATTGCTTATTGTACCTTTTAGTGAAGTGTATGTGTGTGTGTGTGTGTGTGTGTGTGTGTGTGTGTGTGAGAGAGAGAGAGAGAGAGAGAGAGAGAGAGAGAGAGAGAGAGAGAGAGGAAGCATATTTTGCACTCTCCAATAGAGGTTGCAGAGACCATGCCTCTTCTGCTACTTTTGTATCCCCTATTTGCCTAACACAGTGATTTATACTGAATAAATACTTCTTATTGAATGCATTAGTAAATAAAAATGTGTGACAGGGAAGCTGAGAGCAGCAGACAGTGGCCAAATGATGGACTGCTTGTATTTAATGTTGAGTCAGAAACCACAGAAAAGTCTGAGCTGGGGAGTGAGTGGTTAAACTAGAGCTGAGGCAGAGAGACACAGTAGGAGGTGAGAACAAGACCCAGGTAGAGAGCAAAACAGACTAAAAAGCAATTATTGGGAGTCAAAGACCTAAGGTGTTTTTTAAAAAAATATATTTTTACTGATTTTTTTTTTTTTTTACAGAGAGGAGGGGAGAGGGATAGACAGAAACATCGATGAGAGAAAAACATCTATTAGTTGCCTCCTGCACACCCCCTACTCAGGATATGCCCACAACCAAGGTACATGCCCTTGACTGGAATCCAACCTGGGACCCTAAGTCCACAGGCTGATGCTCTATCCATTGAGCCAAACCGGTTAGGACAAAGACCTAAGTTTTTTAGAGCAGTTTCTTTATGATACTTTCTAAATTTAATCAGTGGCCCTGAGCACATGCAGTGTTTTGTTTTGTTTTAACTTTTTTATTTTTGGCAGAAATATTAGAAAATATAAAGAAAAAAGGTAATAATCCTCAATAATTCTACCATACAGGGAAAAGCACCAGGAGTTACCATTTTGGTATAAATCTTTACATACCTTTGCCTGTGCATAAACATAAAATATATTTTTAACATATAATGCTTATATGAAATTTTATTTATAATTTTATTTTATATGGTATTAAATTTCATGAAAATAAATACTAAATTTAACATTGAAATTTTCTTATAAGTTAAATATATTAAATCAAAAGTATATACATATACTAGTTAATGTTAAATAAAAACACCTACCTTCAACATAATAAAATATATAGACAGGGACTCCTTGAGGTGCCCCCTTTTTTTTTTTTTTAATATATTTTATTGATTTTATACAGAGAGGAAGGAAGAGAGATAGTCAGAAACATCGATGAGAGAGAGAGTCATCGATCAGCTGCCTCTTGCACACCCCCTACTGGTGATATGCCCGCAACCAAGGTACATGCCCTTGACCAGAATCGAACCCGGGACCCTTCAGTCCCCAAGCAGACGCTCTATCCATTGAGCCAAACCGGTTTTGGCGAGGTGCCTTTTTGATGCAAGCAACACTTAGACATCTTCTGAGGCAGTGGTTATAAACAAAATACTGATTTATCTGAAATGATTCATCTTTGAAATATTTGAACATTTAAGTTATTTTACCAAAAGTATTATTTACTGAGCAAACACCAATTTCTCTCCTTCCCAGATTCTAGAAAGGAGAAATGCACAAAAATATTAAGAATGTTAATTTGTTTGATAATCTGATCTATTGGTTGGTAGGCCACTGTGGACTCAATACTGTACCCAGTGTGCTACTCACTGTCTAACTCAGTGCCTGGCACAAAATGAGTAATTAGGAATATAGTGAACATAGACTACTAATAATCTCCTTTATCCCTTTTTTCCATTCCTTTTCCAAGTGGTGTGGATATTTAGCACTTGTTAGCTACTTCTTAATTATCCACAAAAATGGGGTACAAGTTCACATAGGAAAAATCCACATTTAATACAAAAACATATATTTAGCTGATAGTATTCCTTTCCTTCCTTCAGAGTCCTGACTTCACTTTCTGTGAGAAACAGAGAAGCAGCGTCACTGGATTTTACCTCCACTCCCTCTCCCATCGGGGACAAAGTCAAGAGGCAAGAGACCTTACCAGCATTAGGAACCCACAAACAAAGAGGACTGGTAACTCATGTCAGCCTCATAACTGTATTTCTCAAAAATAGCTAAAAGCTTGGCTGGTGTGGTTCAGTGGTTGAGCATCAACACATGAGCCAGGATGTCACAGTTCTATTCTTCGTCAGGGCAAGTGTCTGGATTTCCGGCTCCATCCCAGTGGGGGGCAACACAGGAGGCAGCCAATCAATGATTCTCTCTCATCGTTGATGTTTCTATCTCTCTCTTCTTCTCCCTTCCTCTCTGAAATCAATAACATATATATATATATATATATATATATATATATATATATATATATATATAGCTAAACATTTAGCTAAAGATCTTTTCCTGGGTCAAAGGCTTCTGTAAAGATTACATTTTCCCAATAGGTGGCAGTATTTTCTTTCTTCAGCATAAGTAGAATGCTTGAAGATTTGCCTCAAGGTTTGTTGAATTTGATTTTGTTTTACTATTTGTTTAGTAAACTGCAGGTGACAATAAATTAATTAATAAAACTTACGTTTCATTCACTTTCTTTAAAAAATCACTCTCGGAGGTTTCCAAACGCCCCATGTGGGGGAATTTATATGTTGGCTACATTCAATAGCAAGGTGTATGAGGAGGTAGACAGTGTTGTAACCCTCCTCCCCATTTCCTGATAGAAGTGACTTCTAAAAACTGGCTAATTGGTGTAATGTCTTGAAAGCATGTCAAGCTTTTCGGCCTCTATACTGATAAAATAACGTATTGACTCTAGAATTCTTGTTTGGGGTGCAAAAGATTCATTGAACTATAAAGATGTCTTTCCTGGGTGGTTAATAATGACCCTTAAAAAATTATTCTCACACCCTATTTTAGTGGTAACGCCTACATTTTTGCAACTGTACATGACCTCTCAATACCTCAACAGATGGTTAGGTGCTGTCACATGTCTGCCATGAATTAAATGTCAAAACTAGGTTTGAAGAACAAAGGAAGAAAGGATTGCAAGTCCACGGACAGTATGTTGGAGTTGAAAGACGGATGTGTTCATTAGTGGATTAATATCTCAGACACTTTATCTTCAAAAATTACTGTGTTTGAAAGAATAGGGCAAGCTACGTCTGAAGCATGCGTGCCACTGGTTTCTCCGAAGTACCTTCCCATCAACAACGTTGCTATGTCCAAGAGCTCGGTGTTTTCCCTGGAAATCAGGAGATGGTCTGAATTTTCTCATGCACCCCACCTGTGAATATTCAACTAATATGAGGTGGGTATTAGGGTATGTTTAAACAATTCTCTACTTCCCAGAGGAGCCATCGAGTGCTGCTCCGCCCCGACACGCACTCTCCTACCCTCTTCCCCGCCACCAGGGACCTCTGGAGCCCCTGCCTGGCCTGGGCCCCGCACCATCGCCGGGTCCAGGTAAGGCTGCCCGGCCCGGCCGCTCGGACGCACTGGCCTCCGCTCCAGGCCCGCGCCCCAGGCCCAAGGGAAGAGTGAGGCCCGAGGGGCTGCCGACAGGAGCAAAGGTCATTCCAAGCCCGACCCGGCGAGGGCGGGGAATCGGACCGGGCATTCCCCGCGCTCCTCCAACGAGGGGCGCACGGAGCCCAGCGCCCCGGCGCGTCCAGCCCTGCGCACCGCCCCTTGGCCTCCTCCGCCCTTCGCGCCTGGGACCCCCCCCCAACCCGTCCGCGCTCCCAGCGGTCGTGGCCTCCCGTCTCCACCGCCTGCGGACCCAGCCGCTCTGCACCCCCCGCCCGGGGGCCCCAGGTCGGCCGAGGGCTCCGAGGGTAGGCGATCCGCATTCCCCAGGACGAGCAACCGGTGGCAGCACCACCCCTACCCGCGCTCAGCCGACTCCAAGCGCCCCAGTTCCCCTCTCCCCCTTCCCCCGAACTCAGAGCCCGCAGGCAGCCGCAGGGAGGAATGCACCGACCCCCTCCCCTTCCCCAAACTTCTTCCGTCCGCGCCGCGCTTCTGCTTCTTCCAACTCGACCCCTCTGCGCCCTCTGGCTCCTCCCACTGCGCTCCCCTCCCCTTTCCCGGTCCCCACTTAGGAATCCGCTCCCCCCTCTGTCCCCCCCCCCCCCCCCCCCGCCTCTGGCCGGGTCCGGGATCCTCCCCCCACCCGGCTCCCCCCGCCCGCCGCCGCCGCCGCCGGGTTCCTCTCCCCCCGCGCGGCGCTCCCTGCCAAGCCCATGATGTAATGGTGTATGTTAATCAGGAGCATGTGGAGCGCTCCGGCTGGGGCGGCTCAGTCCTCCCAGCGCCGACCCGGGAGACGGCGGTGGCGGCGGCGGCGGCCGGGACTCGCAGCGCCGCTCTCTCCCAGCGCCGCCCGCCCCGACGGCATGGCCCGCAGCCCGGGCTCCGGGCGCCCCCAGCCCCGCTGACCGCCGCCGCGGGCCCGGACCGCGGGGGCCCCAGCCGCCGGCATGAGCCGCGCCGAGGTGAGCGCCCCTGTCCTTCCGTCCCCCCACGCCGGCCGCCGGGTCCCCTTCCCGGGGGCTGCCCTCTCCGCTAGGGAAGTTCTGGGGCCCGGGAGGCGGATGCTGGGCGGGCGAGAGGCGCCTCTTGGAGGGCTGAGCCGCTGGGCTCTCCTCTGTGCCCACCCAGACAGCGAGAGGACGGGGAGCCCCAGAAGCCGAACTTTCTTTGAGGTCCGTGGGGGGAGGAGGGGGAGGAACGGGGGGCGCGAGCCGGGGCGCGGAGCCGCCCTGCCCGCCGGGTGAGGAGCGCGCGGGGTCGGGGCTCGGGGTGCGCTCGGGGCCGGGACGCCGGGGACGCCGGGCTGGGCGCTGGGCCGGACAGACCCACCCGGGAAGGAGGCGGCGGAGGCAGGATGCCGAGAGCTCACACACACGCGCGTACACACACTTACACACGCACACACACACACAGGCACGCACACATCTGATCGCTGTGGGCACCGCAGGCCCTTGGAGACCGCTCTGTGGGCTGGAGCGGCGGCGAGGCGCGGGGGAGCCGGGCTCGGGCTGCGCCTCCGCCCGCCGGGCGCGGAGCTTTGGGTGGGGAGAGTTTATTTTTGTCTCGAGCTGCTGCTGCTGCCTTGGCTGCTCGCGGCCTAAATCCAGAGGGGCGCCTGGCGGTGGAGATGCTGGCTGTTGCTGTAGATGGAGCTGCAGCCGCTCGGCTGCTGCTCTGGGAAGAGGAGGAGGAGGAGGGAGGAGGAGGAGGGAGGAGGAGGAGGAGGAGGAGGAGGAGGAGGAGGAGGAGGAGGAGGAGGAGGAGGAGGAGGAGGGAACTCGGGCTGCTGCTGCCGCTGCCTCCGCCTCTGCTTTGCATGAGCCCCCACCCCCGCGCCCCTCGCAGCCGCATTGCAAGTTTTCTGCGCGAGGAGAATCTGTTGCTGGCGTCGGCGTCCGCGGGCACAGCCCCGAGGCCACCCCGGGTGGGGTGTGCGGGGAGCACCAGCCGTTCGCGGCGGCAGCAACAGGAAGCCGTGGGGTCTCCTCCCGCATCGGGGAAGGAGGTGTCTTGCCTTTCCCAGAACGGGAATAGCTCGTCCCCCGCATCCCGGTGCGGAGGGGGCGGCCGGATTTGGGGGGGGGGGACCCGAACCCCTCGCGGGGCGCCCCCCGTCCCCACCCCCTGATGCACTCGTTTCCCAGGCGCGCTCCCTCGCCGGCCGAGGTCTCACTGCAGCCCTTTCTCTCCTTCCAGTGGTGATCGCCGCTCGGGAATGCGGGTGTAAAGGGTCCGAGCTGCCGCCCAGCGGGAAAGAGACCCCGGGACGGACGCCGGAAACCACCATCCCGAAGCCGTGAGAAGGGGAGGGGAAGAGCGCATTCTTCATTCAGTTGGTGTGCCTTGTGGGGATTTTTTATTTTTTAAAATCGTTATCTTTTTTTAAAAAAAGAAACATTTCCGCGCTCCTGTCTGTCATCATCTCTGGGGAAACCAGCCAGAACCACCACCGGGACGTAACTGAAAGCAGACGAGAGAGGCGGCCGCCGAGGCAGTACCTGCAGCGCCCGAGCGCCCAGCCACCTTGGACCCGGGACGCGCTTCGGGCGGGCGGCCGCGGGGCTGCGGCGCCGCCAAACTTTGGGGCGGGCGGGCCGGGCCGGGGCTGCCAGGGGCTTCGTAGACGGAAGGCCGCCCCCTCACCATGATGTTTCGCGACCAGGTCGGGGTGCTGGCGGGTTGGTTCAAGGGCTGGAACGAGTGCGAGCAGACTGTTGCGCTGCTGTCGCTGCTCAAGCGCGTGAGCCAGACCCAGGCCCGCTTCCTGCAGCTCTGCCTGGAGCACTCGCTGGCCGACTGCGCCGAGCTGCACGTCCTGGAGGGCGAGGCCAACAGCCCGGGTAAGTGCCCCTGTCCCGCCCGTGCCCCCCACCCCACCCCTCTCCCTGCCACCCTAGCCCCAGCCCCGGGCCCAGGCCCCGCCCCCGGCCGCGCCGTCCCCCGGGCCCGCGGCCTCCCCACCTCCCCGCGTCCCCGCCCCTGCCGCCCGCTCACCGCTGCCGGCCGCTTTGGGTTAGCGGCCACGGTCAGCTCAGCCCGTCAGTCCATTCCGGGTGGTAGCTACGGGAGCATGAATGATTGATTTTTCTCTCATGCAGTTTCCTGGGAAATAAGTAAGTCAGGTCACGTAGAGTCTGGATTTTCTGGGCTTTTTTTTTTTTTTTTTTTTTTTTTTTTTTCCCCTTCCTTCTTCTTCTTGGACAACGTGGCTCTTTGGGTTTCAGCAACCCACGATGCAGCCTGGGACTGCCCTTCGGAAGCCAAGCTTTGATTAGGCTGTATGAGCAATACGTGAAAACCTAATGTTATTATTAATCTTCCCTCCTCCCCCTCCCCCCCCTCCCACGGATAGTACGGTTTTAGAGCTCCGTCTTCTGAATGATATGTAGGTGATGCTATGACTGTTAAAATAACACTTGCAGTTCATACACTATTCGGGTCTGGTCCTCTATGCTGATAGTATGCATAGGGATATGCATCTTGTGGATGCCTGGCAGCAGGCATGAATCAGAGTTCTTGCTGCTTTTTTCTTAAGAAACTTTATTGAATAGAACAGAATTGCTTCCGATTACCCTGCTGGTATTTTACAGACGCCTCAACTAGTACAGAAAGTGAATATCCACGGAGGGTCCCGCCGTGTGCTGTTTGCTAGCACGGGTGGTGACAGAATGAAATTATATCCTGGGGTGTGGGGGGGAGGGCGGGGAGGGAGATGGTGGTGACGGTGGTGAGGATGGGGGATGGGAGAAAGGTTTGTTGCTTATAATTTTGGATAGGGGAAATTCTTCAGTTCCTGCTGCAGCAGGAGGGTGAACAGAGCCCCCAGTGTTTATGCAGAGAAAAGAATGCAGGGTCCTCTTCCAGCTGTTCCATGTTAGGGCCGCTCGCCTGCCCGCCTCAGCAGAGGTCTGGGCTGCCATTTGATGACAAGGTCCAGCCCAGGACAGCAGGGCCTGGGCGACACGAACATGAGTGTGTCAGGGCAGCAAGAGGGGGGCTGGCCCCCACCTTACTTCTCCTCCCTGGTGTGGTGCTCATGATGCTGCAAACACCAGGATGGGATGTTTCCATATATAGAATCCCAGGCTGGAAGTGACCACTGGAAACCCTCACAGTCTCTTTCCTGAACGGACAGGACTGCATCCCGAGGATCTCCTGTTGCCAAGGACGAGGGGGGGGGGCACACTGAGAGGGATCCCACAGGCCTCCTGGGATTCGCCCAACAGCCCACCCTGTTCGGCACAGGGTGGTGGTGGCCGTGGGGTCCCTTTGCTCAGCTTATAAACAGCCAGCAGGCCAGCCTCCTTCCTAAGGGTGTGAGAGCATAACTAGGTTAAGTGATGTCCTCTCTCTTTCTCCCCATCCTTACTGTGACAGGGTTGCCCGGTTCTCCTGCTTGAGTTTGCTTTCTCAGGTTGGCAAACAAGGTTACATAAACTCCAGTGTCTTGTGGAATGCACAGGATTGATGGACAGTCATTGATGTTGGATGCTCGACTCTGGTGCTTGTAGGGACTGGTTAAAAGTGATAATGAATCTTTAGGTTACTCAAATGTTAGAGCAACATGTTTGTCCTGAGTAGAGAAGACTTTTCCCAATAGAGCAGCGGTTTAGAAAGGCAGGTATTTAAAACATATGGTATTAAAAAGTAGTTGCTTACTTTAACAATCTTGTCATTGAATAAGCCAAGAAAGTGTTGACCTGTGAATTAGTCTGTCATTTAGTGATTTTTTCCCCCCTCTCAAAAAAAATTTCCCCATGCTTGCTTGTGTAAGATACCTACCTGTTCATGCTGCTATAGACCCACAGCCTCTGGAACTGTTATGTAAGATAGGGACCGTTTTCCAATTTCTGGATTCACCTTTCAACCTGGACAGTTTGCTTCCTTGGAAACCTCTGTACTCCATACATTGTGCGTCCAGGACATACATCATGAGGGGTGTCCTGGGATGGCTTGCTTTATATCTGCAGAGTGGGGACCACAAAGAGCATCGGGATGTGTCATACACACCTGAGTGTGGAGTGCTGTTCTCTGACCGACATTGGAACCTAGCCAAGAACGAGGAAAAGGGCAAAAATGCCCAGTCAGCAACCAGAATAGACGGCATCATGTCCGGGAGAATAGTTCAGACCCTCTCTGGGAACAGAATTACTCTTATTTTAGACAACAATCCTAACATTAAAAAAAAAATTTTTTTTTTTTTTTTGGAATAATCATTGCATAGTATGGTTAGCACTTGTAGGACGAGCTGAGCAGCTGCTGTAACCAGGAGTGAAAAGTGATCACTGACAGCTTGACAACCAGGGAAGAGACAAAAATGTTCAGGGCAAAAGCCCTGAAAGTTTTGGGAATGCTAGAGTAGGACCCTGCGGGCATTCCTCTATAATAACATAGATCAGTAATTGCTGTTTACCATTAATGAGAGTGAACTACCAAAGGGATACATTTTTAAATGCACTCTTTGAGAAGGGAGGGAAATAGGTCATAAACTTTGGGAATATTGACACTCAAGATAATTGACCTCCCAAGCAGTTTCATTCTGAAAAGCTCTTACCCATTCAGAAAAGTAGGCTTGTGTGTAAATGACTCATTCATTGGCTGGCTGAGGTGTCCTATACCAAAATCATCGTGTATTACTTTATTTAGCAACCATCAATTCAACAAGCACGCATATTTCTTCTGGTAATGAGGGATTTTAAAATTCGACGAATGGGGATCAAATTCATATCTGGGGCTTGATCTCAGTATAATTAAGAAAATTAGCAATAGGGAAGTAATAGTGTGAACTTGGCTCTGTTTTCTCCAGGACTGACTTTAAATAGAGTCTTGCACATTAATCCTGGTTTATTTGAAATCTGTGGGATGTATTTTGATATTAACTTTTCATTTTCTTAAATTTATCATTTATTGAGAATCTAGTGCTTCACTGGCTCAGTCTTTGCCTCAGATTCATGGCCATCTGAGATTAAAAAAAAAAAAAAGGTTGAGTCTGTTCTATGGATGTATGAGTGTCACGATCAGCTCTATAAGTAGAGGTTTGTTTTCAGAAGCCTCATACGCTTAGATAAGTGCCCTTCAGCCACCAGCCCAGGTTCCCATTGAGACCTCTAGCCAGTCTCAGTTTGTAGATGACTGCTTCTGGAGCTGATGTTTCCTTCAGTATCTGAAAATGGCAAAGACGGAACCCACAGACTTTACCTGCAGTTTCCCTAAGAAAAAATAGGTTGTGTGGTATTGTTTATTTCTGACTTTTATCATTTAGACTTGAAATATATTTTCCAATGGAAATAGTGTAATACATGGAGATTCAATAGTGAATCCACAGCGAGCTACTAACTCACAAAACAGTGTATGTTTTGTGGAGATATTGCATATGGTTTGCAGTAAGTAAGTGGCAAAAAGATGGTCGCTTTACTTACAAGTAAATACAGGAGAAAGTATTATCTGAAGTGGTGGTGCTTGAAAATTACAAAGAACTTGTGCGCGTATTTATTCTCATTAGACGAGGGTGAAGATGTTGGCTCTATAATTTTTTATGGTTTTTAATTTTCATAGTGTAAGTATGCCATATCCTGAGTTGCATTTTTAAATCACAAATGGAATAAAAGGAAGAATAGAGATTTTCCTAATGATGCTGGGTAAGATCTTGTATGTAGTGCTTCCTTTGACTTATTATTCCACATGCATTTTATAACTATTGGAATGGCTCTGTGCTATGAAGTGGGAATAGGTAACTTACTATATAGTCCAGTGTCTGGTACTCAGCGTGATGGGAGCTCAAGCATAGATATGGGCGGGGCAGTGGTTCTACGCCCACGGTGAACCTATTATAGAAGCCAATTGCTTGGTAGAGTTAAGGAAGACTTCACTGAAGCAGAGAGATGTTTGAGTTGCGTTTTGAAGGGTAAATAGGAGTTGGTTCAATATGTAAAAAGGATTGTAGAGAACAATCGTGAAGGTGTATTATAAGCAGAAAAGATCATACTTATGAAACGCTGCTTTATGAAAAGGCCCAGCTGTGTGCAGGAAATGGTGAGTTTAGGGTACCTAGAAGAGTGGAGACTGAGCTCACAGAGGCAGACGTTAAAACAGAAGCTATGGCTATGCAGGACTTTGTCAGCTAAGGCATTTGGACTTAACCCTGCAGAGTTGATAGAAAACCCAAGAAGATTTTTTTTGGAAAGGAGTTAAAAGATGAAGAGTGTGTGAGAATTCTCCTGGGAAAGAGAATTCCTGTTGTGCATGATCTCCTCAGAGGCAAAAATGGAAGAAGTACGGCAGTTTGGTTCGGCCAGATTCCATTGGCCACCTGGTGGCATCATGAGCTCAGGGTAGCTTTGTTACTGTCAGCGTTGATGTGTGGGGGTGAAGAAGAATGGATTAAGATGGAGAGGAAGAGAAAGAATTGTTCAGGGGCCATTTATTTATATCTGCAGGAGTTAACTTCTGAGCCTCCATTTTACCATCTGTAAAATGGAGCTAATCAAGCCGTGTCATTGTCCAGAAGTTAGTTATTAATCATCAAATGATGATCTATTCTCTTCCCTAGGTTTAACATTGCCTCTGATGAATCTAGAATTTATATGAAAATGTTTGCTTAAATGGTAGGAAATCTTTTTCTTTAAAGGATTATTAAAGAGAGATGGGGTGTGGGCGTGGGGAGGGGGGACTTGGAACCCTGGAAAGGTATGAACCTATTTTGTTCCACCTTCTGCTTGCGGCTTTGTTGTTCTCTATCATGTCAGGTTCTAAAAAAATGTAGCACGGACCCAGTTTTCCCAAATGACCTGTCAACATTTTTCCCCCCTTTAGTTGGTGAAAGTGAAAAGAGGAAACCATT